AAACAGAAACGGAGATCGTTTAAAAAGCTCGTCGGTTGCTTCGACGAGAGCCATCAAAATAGCTGAACATTTTTCAGTTCCAAAAATCGAATCCGCAGTTTGGATTTAACGAAGCCCGTGGATCGTCTGCGAGTCCTCGTCGAGATTGCCGAAATTACGGCGCCATTATCCCAGCGATTCCGTCGCGGTCGACAAATTCGACGAACATCGCGTAAAACTATAAGTCGCTGGATACACGATAACGATAAAGACCGACCGGCGATTAAGTTAACCCCGCGACGCGTCGTGTACTTTTATTGCCGTTTCTAACGACGAATCCGCGACTAATCTCGCGTCATCGAGCGACTAGAAACCTTTGGGAACTTACCCCAGATCCCGGTGGATGAGGGTTTTTATTCCACCGATACGCGATACACTTCTAACGCCTCCCAGGAATTCTTGTTTCAGAGCCACGGACTCTGTCGTAATTTGATAATAAAGTCACGGATTCGCCGTCGTCCGCGGAATATCAAAGGTTTTCCCGGCAGTCATAAAAGTTTAGACGAGGAAACAGCCAAAAATGATGGGCAGAGGGGGCGGGGGGCAAGGCGAGAGAACGAACCAAAAAGAATCCCGGCGAGAAAAAAGATGGATGGCTCGTGGATGGTCCACTTTATTGCACCGTGGGATATTGTATAGCTTATGGCTGCAGGCTGCAAGAACGAGGGTTGGGTTCGAGAAAAGAGGTTTCCCTGGGAAAACGAGTGATCTATCGCCCGGCACACGGGGCCCCGGCAGTCTGCAACGAAACGAATTTTTGGTCGGACGAAGTTTACAGCGAACGCCAAATATTTTGACCGCTCACGGCCATTCAAGAGTAAATCTCGCTATATCGCCCGGCCGCTCTGTGCCTCCAGTCTCTCTCGCCTCTTCCTGTTCGCCCGTAGTTTGCTTTAGGCCAGCGGTGCTCAAATTTCGTACGTAGGAACGAGCAAAATAAAGCAAAATTTCCCGAGCCTTCGTAAACGAAAAAGAAACTCGGTTTTTCTCGGTTTTCGAGGAAGCAGTCCCTCCAACTGGAATTTCGCTCGATGGATTCGAACTGAGGGGGCAAACTTCGCCAAATCCCCGACGATTAATAATCCAGCGACTTTGCAAAACTGCTTTGGGGTTAATCTGCCAGCTCCGAGTTGGCAAGTTGCGATCTTTTACATCCGAGTCTTTTCGATGCCTTTCGGGAGGATTTAAATCTTAGAGAACTGAGAAGTTTGTTTTTTACTCGATTTTCCCTTTTATAGAAACCTGTAATGAAATAAAAATTTAGCTCGTGTATCCGTCAGACAACGTCCAATTCGTGCATAGTTGATTCACGCGGTTGATCGTTCGATCTTCGAAAAAGGAGAACGCGTGCTTTTGGATCGAGCGTTCCCCAAGAAGAGCGAGTAAGCCGACGGAGGAAGTTAAAGAGATCGAGAAGCAGAGCTAGGCGACCACTGGATCAAACCGAATCCAATAACTCCCCCGGGATTACAACTCCGACCCTTGGGAACCGAGCGTTCCCCGAAGACGTGGAAGTTGCGGAGAAAACCGGCGGAAAGAAATAGAAGAGAAAAGGAGCAGGGTTTGGGAAAGGTGTTAGGATAAGGGAAGGTGGTTTGGAAAGGTGGATCGTCGTTGGGGGCGCGGATATTTCGTTGGGACCAAACAGTATATCGCATCGGGTGCACCGAGGGGGGGGGTGAACTTTCCGAGACCCCCGGAGTTCATGCAACGGGAACGAACGACTGTGTTTGTCGCTTGTTTTCTGCACGAATTTTCGAAAAATGTATCCCGGAGAGGAACCCGGAAATCTTTCATCGAAATATTCTAAACAGCGCTCGTTCCAGCGATCGATGTTGCTCTTGGTACGATTGGCTGTTGTGGAAACAGCGTTTTCGATCGTGAAGGGTCCAAAGTCGAACGTGACACTTTAAGAGGGAGAATATCGTGTCCAGTAATAGAATATTTATGTACCATAGGTGTGTTAACAATTTTGATCGCAAGTTTAGATCATCTTTTAAGAAGATTTGACAGATTGTAGGATTTAAGTTTGTTTGATTGGAAGATGGATCCGGGTCAATCAAGAGTGAAGTGTACATTTAAACTGTTCAAATTTCTGTGGTAAAATGATTGTCAGATGACAGGTGGAATATAATCAACGAGAAAAGATTTTTAAACAGTTTCGTATTGAATCGCAAAGGAATAATTTACGTCTAAATAAGTTGACCAGTTGTACTGAAAAGAAAAACGGGTTGAGACAGCTTTGTATGGAATTGCAGTATTAGAAGAGAGTTTAGAAATATTTTTAAAGGATTACACCGCGGTGCAGTGGACCGAGCCGATAGCATTAAATATTGATATCGCAAAGCACACGGGGATGTTTCTGCAAACGATGTACAAACAGTACGGTCGCGAAAGATAAATAACCGGGCAGAGTCACGTTTATCAAAGCAAGATGGTCGGTGCAACAAAGTGCTTTTGACAGGAGAATCACAGGTCGAGGCCGCAACGGTGAAAAAAAGAACAGAACCCCCGTCGGTGGTCGCGACACACCTCGAACCGGCAACAAATTTAAAAACAGAACAAAGCAAAAAACAAACGGAGGAAGAGGTGATCGGCAAACAGAGCCACGAAACCAAACCGCACGAGCCATCGTGGAAACGATGAAACAAAATATTTGTGCGGTTTCAACGATTTCCGTGACGCGCTTCACCAGCTCCCTACAAATTCAATTTCTCCAGGAAGATTCGTTTACCACCCGTTGCATAACACCCACACAGCGACGTGTACACAGAGTGCCATACTCGTGCTCCCGCTTCCCATTGGCCCAAGAAAGCAAACCTAGTTTTACCAGCCAACGGATAGGTATTACTTTGGATCCCGATAACTAACACCTTCGTGCACAGATTCGTTCGAAAGTAGGGTCTTTCTCGACCCATCAATTATTTCAGATTCATCGGTTTTTTTAAATTTAATTTTTCCTGGAATCCCTTATGCACTTCTTTTATAGATAATAATTAATTGAAAATCTGCTTCTTCCTGCCAGGAACATGTTAGAGTAATAAATATACGGATCTTTATGCAAATTAATAAAGTTATTGAAATGGGAGATTTGCAGAGGGTTGTCTCAACCTCTAAATATAATAATTCGTATACTACTTTAAGGATTTCTTATTTGTTTGCATATTAAGTGCATTCTGTAGTTTTCTGAGAATCAAAATTTCCCATAAATGCATACACATCCACAGTAATAACTAACACCTTCGAGCACAGCTTCGTTCGAAAGTAGGGTTGAGAAAGACCCATGAATTATTGCAACTCGCAGTAAACAGACCAGACTGATGCTAAATTGTTTTGTAACAGAGGTTATAAGAATCGTGACCAACCCTTGTGGCGTACTGATAGGAACTGAAACTCAATGACGATCGTCATATGCTGTTCGCGAGTCTGGCTCGTGATATTGATGTTTGGGCCAAAATCTTCGTCACGAGTCAGACTCGTTAATGTACATGAAGGGGTTAAGGGAGAAGGGTCGAAGGGATTTAGACAAATTTCGAGATGAAATCGTTGTCCGTATCGTGAACAGGAATAAACGTTTCCACGTGGCTTTTGCTATCGTTTGTCCGCGGGTAAGGAACAACATTGACTCTTTACAAATAGAGAAAGAGTTGGCGGTTCAATTCGGTAGAAAATTGCGGGGAAAGTGTCGGTTAATTCCATCGCTGCGGGGGCTCCGTTCCCCAATAAAACAGAGAAATCCGCGTCCAGATCGATCGAAAATTGCAGAAGAAGGATCGGTCAAGCCCCTCCCCCCTTCCCGCGTCGCGGTTCTCCTTTTCCAGCCAGCTCCGTCGGGCAACAATGTTGGCGCACTAAATCCTTGTGCCACGCCACGAGAAACTTTTCCACCAAGTTCGAGTTCTCCGAGAGTTTATCGGCGGCGGAGGCAGTTTCCACCGAGCACGTTCCCTCCCCCCCGTGAGGTGTTTTTCTTTTCTTGGACTCCGGTCCCTTCGAGAACTCGATAAAATTCGGGGGGGTCACGCAAATCGAGCGTAACCAGTAAACCTAATGCTCCGCAGTCCTCGAATCGAAACGTTCTCGTTACGGTGTAAATATTTTTATAAAAAAACATTTTTCTACATACACCGTCGAAACGACCATTTTATTTTTCATATTCAACATTTTTCACCGTTTCTACGTGGAATCGTTTCGTTTCAACGAAAGTATTAAATTTTAATTGAGAATGTAAATTGTGAAATTGAATGCAAAACGCTTCACCGGGCCGCGGCCTTGATTTAAACAATGTTTTGCAGAATGTGACGTCATTAAAAAATGTAAAATAAGCATACGATACACCGCGGTCTTTTTAATATTTTTTCGACGAGTACATCTCGCTCGACAATTTTTTTTCGAGTCTAGACACAAGCGGAAACAAGTCGTTTATGAAATTAAATTTCATCCCAAACGAAACTAAACCACTCTGAAAATGTTGTACGAGCGGAATCTTTTGTACCTCGAAACCGGAGATAAATGGATTTACGCCACTTCCATAACGAGAACGATTCGATTCTTGGTGCTGGCTGGAAGTCGATATCGCTACTGTGTACGAACTGCAGTCTAGTGGTCGTCCAAGTTGGGAGGATCAACTAATAATAATTACTTTCGACGTTCTAATGGTCTGGGCAAAGTGATGAATAGAGCCACGGTTCGAAATGCTTCGTATTACTTTTTTAACTGCTCCAATGGTTGCACCCCTTTTTCCACAACGCAAATATCATATTAAACAATAGCACTTTCGAATCTAAGAGGTTTAAATGGGGAAACAGATCTGAACCTAAACAGGTGTGTGTCTCAAAGTCACCCACTATGATCAGGGTGAATTTCTCCGAGGGTAAAGTCAAGTGTCCACGAGAATCGGCAGGGATGGACGATCGAGTAAATCAACGAAACAGAGGGACAAAGCGGGCGATTGTACTCACTGACTAAGGTGAGAAAGGGTATGTTGTGCTGTTGAAAATGGGGCGAGCTGCAAGCTTCTTCCGGCCTCGAAACGGCGCTTCCGGTCTGCACCTCCATCACGTGGCCGTCTCTTCGGTAGAACGTCATGCACATAAAACCGCTCCGACTGAAAACAGAAGGCGAGGGGGAAATAAAAAAAAACTGGTTTCGCGTGCATTCGCGAGAGACCGTCGACAAAACGTTCCGACGCCGCGAACAACAGCGCTATTTACACCAACAATGTACATGCGCGCCGTTGTCGAGCGCGTCCGGTTTGCTCCGTTTCTCAAAACACTGTATTATCGATGCTCTTTTCCCCTTTTTTGCCCGCTTTCGAAAAATGCCCACAGTAAAAATCCTCCAACGAAATCCTCACCGACTACCGGAACTCCTTCTCTGCAAAAATATACAATTTTCCTTCTTCCGCGCTCCTAAATTCTCGACATTGTTTACTAGCTTCACTGTACAAGAGATTGGTGGAGCTCTGGACCCTCTAAAAATACTACACCCTTTTCTTTATTTATTCTGTTGCATTTTATTCGCTTCAAATTAAATTTCTGCGAGTAGTTTAAAAGAGGTGTGTTTTCCAATTTAAAATATTAATTCCGTAAGAGCGAATATGCAAAATATGTTCAAATAATCTGATTACTTAAACATAATAATAATCGATTATAATTTAAACTACAATATGTTACGAGTATTTTCTCAATATTGTCAAGAGTTAGTATTAGGTTCTTTAACAATCTGACCTCATAAAATTAATTCTGCAGAACCTATCTGCCAAGAATACTTCAGAATTACTGATTAATACTATTCGTAGCATCCATAAACTGTTACCATTAATAATTCGCTATAAGTAAACACGAGATGTATAAATAGCCATGACTATCGTATACAAACGTTATATTTTATGAAAAGAATGCCATATGCCATATGCACAATAAAAACTATATTTTCAAGGACCTCCAGCGACGAAACACAATTTCTATTTAGGTTCGACTCTTTTATCTATTTCCTAGAACCATATGCACAAACATTCGTAGTCTATCGATAGTGATTCTTGACCCAAAGACCGCGAAGGTACGCTGGGAAGATTTCGAAGCCGCTGCAGAGACATCGTGAGGGTATTTGGCCCCCAATCAACGCGAGGAAAGCACCGATGCGGCTGCGTGGGTGAAACCAAATTCGTGTACTCACCATCCGACGGTGTAATGCGCCACCAGCATGGTCATCGTCATCGTCTGGGCGGCGGTCGATTGCTTCACGCTGTTGCACAATATCTTCACGTCCTGGTCCTCCTGGCCAGGTACGTACTGGCCGTCCACGGTGCCACTGTCGAACCTCGAGGAGCTGGTGTTCGATCTGGTCACGTGCAAAGAAGCGTTCCGCACGTGGAACGTGTAAGACCTGGTCAGGTCGAGGGTGTGCCAGGTCAGTCCGCCGCTGGAATGGCCGGTCAACCAATTGGGAAATCGACACTGGCCGGGTGGCGAGACTGGAAAGCGCACAGGAACCAATTTATTTAACGCTGATTGAACTGCCTCGGGTCCCGAGGACCGGGTCCTCGAACCGACCCGGGCCTCGTTAAGCGGAAGTGTTCCTCCGCTTTTAAAACGTATTTAGAGTATGGACTTTGTAATTCCTGATTGCGAGCCCCGGCCATTTTATTCGGTTCGTTTCACCGGGGCTACGGAATATTTCAACAATCGCGACGACTTCCCGACAGCTGGCGCGGCTCCGTTCGATCGACAAATCTTTTAAGCAAAGATTTCGATTTTTCCGGCCGCGCGTCAAGCGCGAATCGATTTCGAGAAATCGGGAACAATTTCGTTTTATAAAGGTACAGGTCACTAGCGTCGTTCGACGAGGAAGAGATCAACGAGAAGGGATAAAAGAGACGATCCGGGGACCTCCAAAAATTTCGCAGTCGATGCTACCCCCCACTCCCACCCCCCGCCCCCTTCTGCCTGTAAAGTCCTCGACGTTCCGGGACGACAGCCGATAAAACGTCGACGTAGGTATTCGACGGTGAAACAGAATCGTTCGAGTATCTCGTAGGTCCGGTTCGCCCCCGGGACTTTTTGCTCGCGTTTCGTGGGAGGGGTCGGATATAAAATCCGGGCGCCACTTCGATAGCGTCGGGGCTTGGGAAAAGGGTTGACGGAGGAAAATGGATAACAAAGAGGGAGGCGAAAAAAGGAACGCTAGGAACGAGCCGTAGGCTGATAGATAGAAGAGCGCCAAGCGTAGGAGGAGAGACAATGGGGAGAAGGTGAGAACAGCGAACGAGAAGGGGTTGGAGCAAAAAGTACCGGTAACAATGGGGGCGAAGGATACGATATAAAAAAGAAAAATATATAGGAAAGATGAGAAAATGCCCGGAGATGGGGGAGGGAGTCGAGGAAAAAACCGAAGAAATACTAGGGATAGAAAAATGGCGGAAGAACGGAAGATCGACGGAGTGCACGGTTCGGCCAGTTTTATGGCACGTAAAAGCATTGTTGCAACGGGGATCGGGAGGGAATGGAAATAATTCAGCGGCTCCATCGATAAGTCCACGACGACATACAAATTCCGCGATCGTAAAAATCGAATGGCGCTCCCCTTGTTTCGCTGTCGCTCGTCCCTTCGCGGTACCGCGACCTACGACCTCGCGCGATCCATTCTCTCTCTTCGATTTCGCACCCACCCGCCCCGCTTCCGTTATATTTCTCATTCGCCCGCTGCGTATTGCCAATCTGCATTTTAACGATACAGATAAAATCTGACGGAAAGTTGAATTTGTACAACTCTCCGACGATCTGCCCGCCGCGGAACGTCCAAGGGAGACCAATCGGCGTCGCGATTGATTTCTAATATTCATGCAACCCCCGAAAACGCGTTTAATTCTTCCGGTTCGCCATGCTCGAACGAGAGGAGGGTATATTGCACTTTTTATATTGAACTGTCTTTGAAAACGATTGCTAAACAAGAGACAGTCGACTGTTTTCGAGTGCATTCGACCCCTTCATGTCCACTGCAATGTTTTCAAAACGCAACTTTTATTGCTACTGTGTTAATATGCGTTTTCCAGGTTCTATTCGACACTCGTGAAATCCAAATAAAATTCTCTTTTGGTGGAAATAATTTCTAAAAGTTTCAATCGGGATGAATCCCTTTCTAAAATGTTAGCAAAACAAAAAAACAGTCAACTGTTTTCGACGACAGTATGCCTTGTGCTTCGATGTTGTTTTAGCTGCAGCATTTTCGAGTACGTTTAACCCCTTCGTGTCCACTATATTGTTTTCAAAACGCGATTTTTATTGCTGCTGTGTCAACCACGCGTTTTTTCTTTCGCGAGTTATTTTTCGAAGTTACGATTATATGCAGCAAAATTCCCTTTTGGAAGAAATAATTTCTGAAAGTTTCGACGTGGATGTGTCTATTTCTAACAAGGTTGAAGATTAGGCTGACGTAATTGTCGAGAGTTGGGGGGCTTCCCGGAGGTTTTCGAGACATCTTTCGCCCCCCTCCTTGGGTTAAACCCGGCGTTTCGAGCAGTTATGATAACGCAGTCGAGTAATTTTCCCGGGGTATTGACTCTGTCTGCTGGTAAAAGAGTCCAGGTTATAATTGAACAAACTTCTGAGCCCGCTGGATGCGGTTAAAGGTTCTTGGCGAGAAAAAGGAGGAAGGGAGGCTGAGTCGCGTAAAGAGAAAAAAAGATTTAATGTTAATCCATTTTCCCTTCCAACGAAAGAATCGCGATATTAAAGGGTCTGGTTTTACGCTTCGAGAGCTTGCCAATATTAAACAATCTTTTCCACGTTAATTATTGTGTATAATAACCTATATTTAGCTATTCTCACCGCAGAAATTAAACGTCTGCTGGAAGAATCGCGTTGTAACTGGTTCCGACCTTGATGGGACGAGATAGGAAACAAGACTGACGTCGGTTGTCGGTCTGTATCAGAGTTTCGAGAGTGGGGGGAGAGGTAGGGGAGCCAGAAGCACCGTCGAAATGGTACCAGGTTACAGGATTACGTGATACAAATTGTTTTTTTCACGAGTACCGAGACCCAGGCGATGCCTATGGACTTTGGACAGTGTGTCGCCATTGTCCGCTACAATTTTTGGGGGACAATAACGTTGGCCGCGCAGGTGGGCTGTAAAGTAATTTAGGCGTACGCGTTCGGGCCGCGAACAACGCTCGAAGGCACGCGGTTGACCTTCCTGAAGTTTCCACGTTGCAACGCGGCTCGTATTGTTTCTCTGCTATTCTAATTGTCGCGATATAAACTCAATTTCCCAGCGGGTCGATTCGCCGCCCACCTATCTTACGTACGGTTCCTTATTACAGCAACGAAACTCAATTTTCAAACAACATGCACCGTGGAAGCGATATCAAAACAGTGACAGATAATGGGGAGCATTTTCCAAAGGAAACAGAAAGAAACATCTCTTCCTTGATATACAAACTTTTCATTCTGACTCTAAATTCGAAAATCTGTGGTAAAACGATATGTTTATATGTGAATATAGTGGATCGTATTTTGTAAGGATTGTCGAGGATGGTCAGAGTCGTATGATCGGATTAAAATTTCTAATAAAAATTGTAAAATTAAAAATCGACTAGATTTTTGAAAATGAACCTTAGTATCTATCGTTTCAATTTCTTTGGTACAAATAAATACATAATACCAGTTCCAGCATTGAACAGCGAATTTCATCGGCGAGAGTGGAATTGAAGCGACGGTGTGGCAAGGATCACGACGCATTCGTCCGCGTTAAGTTTTTCAGTCGAAAACTAGACCCTTTAACGACTTACAAGACACACCCCCGTCTATCTAAGAACCCCTGGGCTTCCCCGTTTATTCGTCCGACAGTTTTATCCGTCGTCGTAGCCGGGGCTCGTCTTAAAGCGATTCGGCGAAAGAAAGCTTAAAGCGAGAGAGGGATCTCGAAGGATCCAGCGAAGTGAAATCCGTTAACGAAGTTTGCCGTGACACTGTACGCAGTAAGATACGGGCTCGCAAACTTCCGAAGAAGAGTGGGCGAACAGGGGGGGGGGAGGGGGTAAAAGAAAAAAGACGGAGGGACGCGATGCACCGGAAGGAGAAGAAAGGAAACTGTACACCGGGCGAGCGAAGTAGCGTGTAAATATTCCTCGTCCGCGTCGTGGACCCGCCATTTTGACGCGTACACGTTAATGACACTGCCCGTGGATAAGAGAGGGTGAATTTTTCACGCTGTGATTTCGCAGTTCCTTCTGCAGGCGAGCTCTCGAGCGTTCCGTAACCCCCTGACCTTATTCCCGACGACTAACGCCGCCCTAATCGCGGAATTATGAACGTACCTGTTCAGGTAAATGGATGCGACGTCGAGGAGGGATATTTAAAGAAGGCAGAACAGATGTTTCTCGCGGAAGACGAGGGTAAAATTTAAATAACTGCACGAAACCCTTGGCTTTAATGATACGAACAATTAGCGATTGTAATTTTACGTGACTTCTGAGGATAAAGAAATATTCTTTCTCCCGCAGAAAATGTGTAACTATCTGTGATTTAAATTTTACTCCTGTATTTCTCAAATTCAATTTGTGTTATAAATGAAAAATTGCAAAATTGCTTGTCCCCTAAATAAAGTTAAGAAAGTATCGAATACTGGCAATTAGAGGCTTTTGCGTTCGATCTACGATACCACCTACTCAGAGTCGAGTGTCCATTAGAAACAGAGCTTAAATGGATCACTTAAAAAATTGTAAAATTACTTGTCCCCCAAATGAAATTAAGAAAGTGAGGACCACTGGTAATTAGCAGTTCGATCTGTGATATCAGAGCGTGCATTAGGGGTGGATTGGTTGGCAAACGAACGATTAAAAGAGAGAGGATGGCTCTTACCTTTCATGAGAGTCATAGTCCGGGATCCCTCCATGGGGCTGAACAGGCCGTTGCACGTGGCGTCTCCGCTCTGCGCCACCCGGTATATCTCGGCCGCACCCTCGGGCACCGGTCCGCTCTGTAAACCGACATCATGATCCACGGCTCCCATGCCCATGGCAGCTCTGTGCAGATTACCCTGCACTGTCTGGCCAGCCTTCTCGTAGACGAAGCATCGGTATCGATCTTCGTTACTGGACACGTGTCCATGATGTAAACGGCCGACCAGGTAGCGGCTGCTGCCCTCCTTCCAGGTGGCCAGGCACTCCAGCTCCTCCACTGAAACGGACCAAACGGTTTCCTCGTGACACAGAGAACATTTCAGGTCGTTCTACAGCAATCTGAGTTGCGAGAAAGCTGAAGGTAAACAAATGTGTCGGACGAGCAAGACTTTTCTTTAGCCAGATGGGAGGGCTTGTTTGGATGTTCTTCGTCACATTCTGGAAGTCAAATTCTTGTAGGCAATTACTTGTCAGAGGTGTCTTTTTTTGCCATGTGAATCAGACGCAGAGAAGTTACTTAAAAATTGGAACAGATGGTAGGATGATTATAGCTACGAGTCTAGAATTTACAATTTTCTGGGGCACAGAGAGCAAATCGAGCATATGTGTACATCCATCGGAGAATTCGTTTGCCACGATTTTGCCCTACCACTCATTTTATTGCAATTTTTTTTTTTTTGTTTTAACTAACTCGAAGCTCGCGTGATTCGAGCGCTATGGTTTATTCGAGTAACGGTCTATGCGTAATTGCTTTGTACACAGAGTGCCGATGAAATCGCGGTTATTTGTGCGGTGGTAACTGCGAGCCGCAAGGATCGACGAGGAATGTTACCGTATTCCCTCGTTTTAAATAAATTTCGAGGGCTCGTCGAAAAACTCGTTTTTTCTTAAAAACTTTTCGAAACATCGCCGAACAAACCATAGAAATCGCAGCAAAAATAACAGTGTTCGCTGATTTTCTAAAGTTGTAAAGTATAAGTATAGTATAACTAAGAAATCGATTTGCGTGAAAGAATCAGCAAGGTATATTTAAAAAAAAAAAATGTAATTACACTTTCCGAGTAAGTGCTCGAGAAAAGAATCGTACCATAGGATAATGGAGGTCGTTAAAACATTAGAATCTTCCTCGAAAGTTCTAAACTCTCGATTTTTCTATCGCCTATTTATTTATTCATTCAACAAAACTGGAAGCCCCATATTAGTGTAGAAAATTGTACAACACGATAGTCAAAATAAGTTTATAATTTTACACAGTTTTTGGATGATGCAATAGTCTCTGCAAAGAAAGCCAAAGCAGTAGAATAAGAATTCGCGATCAGACAGAGACGACTGGATCTACTGACTATTAATTATCATTGTTATTAAATATTTAAAACTCTTAAGCGGATTATTGGAACTTCTACAGCCCTCTGCAAGTTTCAACTAACAATTATTTAATGTATGTCCATGTAATTATTTAAAAATTTATGTAATCCTCGATTAGCTTCAATAGTTAATTTCCATTTACCAATTTGGTAAAAATCAACATTGAGTAAAATAATTCAGTTGAGACTGAGAGTCCACGATGTAATTATTCGAAAATTTATGTAATCCTTGATTAGAGACAATATTATTATTTAATTATATTATTTATGTAATCTTCTACTAGCTCATTATTTTTTAAATGATTTAAAGGAAAGCTGATCTCCATTTACCAATTTAAAAATCAACATCGAGTAAAATAATTCGGTTGAGATTGAGAGTCCACGATTCGCGAACACTGTCTTCTCGGTACCTTGAAACGCTTACCTGTCGCGATTCAAGGTTACCCGACGCGTTGGTCGTCGACGTCCCCGGGCGTATCGAGCGTCGCGGCGCCGGGCGTCTCGTTCATCGACAAAGTAACTCTCTCGCCCGGGGGCCTCGTCGACGGTGGAAGACGTCGCGTTCGCGCGATTCCCGCGACTATCGCGACGGGATCAAATTCGCCGTGTACGCGACGAACACGAAGAAACGAGGCTGTGGTGGAAGCCGTACCCGCGCGCCGGAATCTGCCACGGCTGACGAGCAAAAGAGCACCCAAGGCTCCGAGGAACGAGCTTTTTTCGTTCGAATCCTCGCAAATTGCTCGCGGCGTCCTCGTCCTCCCGGAGGATCGGGGGATCAGAAAAAGGAAGCCCTGGTACGCGGGGGGAGCCAGGAGGAACGTAGACGAAGGTACCGGGGAGTGGAATACTCGGGGACGCGGATAAAGGACCAAGGGATGGGAAGGGGGGCGGGGGGAGGTCTACGGTGCGAGAAAGAAACGGCAGGAAAAAGAGGTAGCCGACTTTTCCGCGAGATGTGATTTAGATACGCGCCTCTGGGATCTTGGCTTCTGGTTTTCTGGAAAGCCGCGCCGCGTAGACGGTGCACCGGGGGTTGGAAGGTATCTGCGGAGGGGATCCACCGATAACATCGAGCTCTTTACTCCTGGCCTTTCGGGGAGGGGGGTACGTCTCCGGGCGCATCCGGCGCGGCGAACCGATAATTGTTGGTTTCTTCGCGTCGACGGTCGTCCTTTGCGTCGCCCGGACGAATCGCGTCTCTCCAAAGACCACCGGGCGAATCTGGCCACCGTTTTTCACGCGGAAATCTCACCCCCCCCGTTGCCCTTTCCGAACGATCGGCCGCGATCCTCTATTTTTCCATGGCCCGCTGAATGGGGCTTCGTTCCGACTTCAGCGACAGTTTCTCCGCTCGTCTGGTATTTTTTCGAAATTACATTAACTAAATGTTTCAACTCGTGGAAACCTTTTGCAATTATTAAATGTAATATTTACGCGTTTAAATGTCCACCAGAAAGGAACAGAATAAATATAAATATATAATCTTTGGTGCTCCTGACACATTGGCTTTAATTAACTTTTTCGTGCACGGAACTAAACACCCTACTCTAGTCTCTTTTGATAAAAAAAAAAAGGTTAGGCAAACACTCTGGAAATTTTGTTTCAATTCCGACGAAACACCCCCGGACAGCGGCTGGTTTTTGTTCCATTTGCTCTATGAAGTGCAAAAGTTATCGACGTATCCAATTTTTCGATGGATTACAACAAAACCCGGTCGTTGATTCTCTGTTCCAGATTTACCGCGAGTATACATATATATATATATACCCGAATGAAAATAAAAATGAAAAACGCATCCGCTCGTTACAAGTTTATTCGAGGGACTGGATCCGACGGAGTGCTTTTAACAAATTCCGTGACTCGTTTTTCTACGGCGCGGGCGAATATGTCGCGCCGCGACTCAATTCGGTTCGAATTCCGTCGAATTTCGCGTCGAATAACGGCCCCCTCTCTCTCACAAAGGGATTAAACGACGCCGACGCCGCGGAGTTTACGTCTCTCCTTTCCTAAATACGCATTCAATTTAATATCGGGCCGAAGCTATGGCCGAGGCATTCGGTCCCCCGGCAAATCATCGCGCTCAAAGCGCAACGTATAATGCGAGCAATTTCGCGAAATTATATTGCTCACAGTTTAAGCTACCGTGAACAGCTGTCGGCGTACGAATTGCTCGAGCTTTTAGTCTCTTATCAATTTTACCAATTACCGTTTGCTCCAATTTCCACGCTCGATTTCACTTCTTCAACCCTTAACAGGGTCCTCCCCTGTATACCGCCAAAAAATTTGATTCTTTTTTACATTGTCTTAAAGAATATAGTCTTGGAAATATACGTGCAAACGCATATCACTGAACTCCTAAAATTAACGAAGGTATACGTATTGCTATTAATGTATAGTGTAATATAGATTCTACAAAATAAATTGTACAAAAGACAACGGTTGACAAGCTCATATTTTAAGGCACAACGTCAATATTGGGAAAGAAACGAGAAAAAGGGAGAAGCGAATCAATGTTTCTCTGTTTTCCATTGTTTCTTCTCCTTTTTGTATTTTTACATCGATTTGTTCTTCACTCTTCTTTGTACCACGCTGCATTTATAATAGATTACCCTCTGCACCGATGTTTACAATCGATTCCCTTTTATTTCTATTACCTCTCGTTTGAATGCAAAACCTAGGATAAGAGGGAGACTCTTTAACCCCTTGACGTACGATTTAATTCCAAATTATTTTTCGAACACATACTATTTTATTTGGTTCAAATTTGTTCGTACGAGAAATGGTCACGAAAGAGAATTTGTTTTACGAATACCTCGTGAATGTAAAAACGTGTTTAATAATTGTGAAACTTGACATCAAGAGACTCAACCATTTCTATCTCATAAAATCCATCATCTGTCGATTATTCTCTCAAAATATTCAATTTGAAAAAGAAATCGATGGAACAGTAATGAACGACAAAATGATCGTGGAATAAATTCCAGGAACAAAGAGGTACAAGAAGGGAAGTTTCGAACCTGTTTAGGGGAACGCCATAAAGAAGGACCTTGAAAGAAAGTTCGATTCTCAGCACGAAACGTAGAAGAAGCTGCAGGATCTTTAAGCTGGTTGCGTTCCTCTTGCGTTTAAGAGCGAACGATCTCGCCTGGTCGACGAATATTCGTTTAGCTCCTCGATTTTAAAAAGTTTCGGGCGTCGCGTTGCATAATCTCGAGCATCGGATCGATGGAATTTCGCCAGAAGGTCGGAAACTTTTTGGCTCGGCGCCGGACGAGGCGAACCGTGAAACTTCGCTTGTTCGTTCGTCTATTAAGATCGCGTTCCCTTCCGACTGCGAAAAGGGAGAAGCCCTCCGAAAATAGGGAAACTGTTCGCGCCTGGGATTCTATCGACCTCTCCAACCTCTCTCCCCCCTTCGATCCGGGACAGAAGTTTAACGAAGTCGAAATGGAGCAAAATGAGTCGGCGGTTTAGCGATCGGGGATCTTCGTTAGGGCGTGAAAGGGACGATTCTCTGGTCATCGCGACATTTAACCCCGCGATCCTTGAACTCGGACCACCCACGTTCGGGACAAAACGATCCCACAGCCGTAAAAAATCGATCCCCTTTCGCCGAGAATTAAAAATCTTTGCCCCTTAAAACCAACCGTGGGAATTCTACTTTGTTTTTACCGCGTGGTGCGTGTAAAAAATTTAATAACCGGTTATCGAGCTCGATGGAAATCAACTTTTATACGAAATTGGGAGATTCAAATTTAATTCATTGCACTGTAATTAGAATCAAAGATTCGAGCTTGGTCTTTTAGTTAACTACTTCGTTCGCGAGTGCACGTACTCTGAAAACTGGAAAAAGTCTTTAGGGAAATTCGAATTTATTCGACTTTAATTAGAACTAGAAATTTCTTTGACATGCAGGTATGATATAGGTCTCCGCTAGCTTGACGAAATATGTCATATTTTATGAAAATTGTAGTAAGTAAATATTCTACTGACGAATAAAATCGCGACAAAGTGTCCGGTCGACTATATAGGTAACCCAAATTCGGTGCATAAATTTCGCCGTTTCGTTTGATTTATCCGCGAAAGTCGTGCTTTCTGTCTCGTGTGTTTGTTCCGTTCAAATGAAACGTCTGCAAAGGGAGGGTGGTTTTTAGGGGGGGAGCACGGCGTTCAAAACGCGACGTCGAATCGTTAATCTCGAGGTCCCCGGGTCCTTTGGCAGCCATCCTCGGATAAGAGAAACGTGACAGGTTCGACGTAGCGGCGATTTATCTTTTTCCCTGCTCGTCCTTCCGTTTAATTTTCCACCGCAGACATCGTTACCCCCGCGGATCCCTTATCGGATGTGCGTCTAATGGCGCACCTCGGCTACCACCCCGCCGGAAATCGAGCTCTCCCCTGTCCCCGAGTTACGACTAACGAACGCACGGACCGAAAATCACTTCTAATCGCGCTACGCCATCCCCCTCCTGACCCTTTCGACGATTAATCGAGCGCACCGGTTCGAGGAGACTTCGTCCAAAGTTCCGTGTGTCTCTTATCGAATAGTCTCTAAGTTACATATTTCCGAGGGCAATTTAATTTAACTTCTCGCCCATGCATACGTGTCTGGTTCCTTCCTTGGGTAGTCTCAAGGTTGGAGAGACGAATGATCCATTTTGGAAATCCTAATAGGTGCTGGCAGACGTTCCAATTATCTAAAATATCTTGATACCAATCTTTAACCCCTTTCGACGTACGATTTAATTTCAAATCATTTTTCAAACTTGTACTATTTAATTCTGTTTAAATTTGTTTGTTCAAGGAATGATTGTGAAGAAGAATAGATCTAAGTGAAGGGGTTACTTCTCAATTTCCACTATAATCACGCTCGACGCCTTAGAAAGGTCTATCAATGCGTATTAAATGCAATTTCATCCTCTATTTTTTGCTATCTTCTATGTTTATTTTCACATTTACTTTGACGCTACATACACAAAGAAGTTTCAGCAATTTCTACTGATCGTATGACTAGTGTACGATAAAACTGGACCATAAATTATTTATTTAATTGAAAATGAATTTAAATTTGTATAATTACTATGCAAAAATTAAAAACTTTTTTAACATAAAAGAGAAACTTTAAAAAACACAACTTTTTACACATATAATGGAAAAATTAGAAGTACGTTGACTAGTAAAAGAGAAAAAGAAAGACTGGTCGTTTGACCGGTGATGGTATGTTTAGTGTTGAATAGGATAAGTGGTTGGAGTGCTCACCTGCGCTTTCGGAGGCAGGTATGTCCGGGCAGGCCTGGTATCTGAAGAGCAATCTGCTGTCGTCCGTGCAGGTATCCACATTGCTGACGGGCACCGAGCAAGTTCCGTGGCCCCGATTGTACGAGAAGGTCATGGGGCCTCGAAAGGGGCAGGGCACAGGTATCGCCTCCTCCCGGAACATCGAATAGAGCAGGGCATCTCCGGTGATGGACGAGCACAGGGACGCCAGCGAGTTTCTACTGTTACAGTAAGCTGCAAACAACAAACGTTCGAATGAATTCTTTCACCCGTTCTCCATCGTTAAAACAAATTTCCCAAAATAGTTGGGAAACGGTACATTTGATTATTAACTTTGCCCGGCGGCGACCGAGGAGGGCGTATGTCCCTGTCACGCGCAATACACGCGGAGCCACCCCTACGAGCGTTAACTTTCGTCGAACAGCCATAAGTTCTTTCCCCGTTCGGGGCAAGCCTGACAGGAAGTCGGCCCTCGAGGAGGGAAAAGAACGGGGAGGATGCAGGGCCAAGACGATGACGAATCTTCCCTGAGTAGGAAGTTCATAGCGACCAACTTTAACCGAGAATATTCCTCGACGATTTCTTTCTTTCCGGGGGAAAGCGACGGGATGCAAGTTTTCCCGCAGGTGTTGCCTCCGAAGAATCAAAAGGCGATCGACGACCCTCCCCTCCGCGTTCTACGCCCTCGATTTCCCTTCGAAACTCTTTGGTTCGGGGGCCATTCGGTTTACTTTCGCCAAAATTTTATTTTTAACTAAGATCTACTGAGTTATTCAGGTGGTCCATTTTAGGCTCTTTACCCTTTCATTCGGAATCACGGTGGACCCACAATTCAATTTCCCCAGTTTCCAATAATATTCCAAGATGGGCTCGAAGGGACAAGTTTGTTTAAACAATGTTTCCTTCTCACCAAATTGCAATTTTAGTTCGACGAGTGATATAGGAAATTGGCACAGATAAGAATTATGCCCGTCTTTGCATCGAAAGGCGAAATGGAGGTCTCGCGATTTCCGGGGAAGTTCTGAATGCAGCCCCGTGGCCATCGTCGATTTCACGAACCATTTCAATCGATCGTAATCCGTTTAACGCGACGAAGAAAGTCTGAATGGGGCCAGCAATAACAAAAGTCACCCCTTTGATTGGCGTCGTACGATATCACGGGGCAACGGAGGAAAAAATGACGACGCCAGTTGAAAACCATCAAATCGATGCCAACGACCGTTTCATTGTCCTGGCCTCTTTGCTTCCGTCGTTGGTCCTCGAGATCGTTCGCGTTTAGTTTTTACTGCAGTTCCCGACGACTTCACGATCCATCTTCACGACCTTATCAAATGTTTACATCTCCCACGACTCGTGTTTCGATACAATACGTTCTATCATCCGACAAGATCGACAGCTATCCGCGAAAGATTCGAAAATTTCCTAAATTTTCATCGTTTCGATCTCGTTTTGGTAACAATTAATGAGAATATTGTTCCTGGGAGATTACGATATCGAGCATTAACTTGCTATTTACATTTTTATGGTCGAACGGTACACATGTGGCCCGACCTACTAAATATTGTTTAATGCTCCTCCCAAGTACGCGTTTAACCATTATTACTCTTCTTGTTGCGTCCTGCTATCTGTTTCCAATTCCCCAACCGCTCTCTGTTTCCTCCTTTTCTGCATTTTCTGCATTATTATTGGCTCTGGTTTAAACTGTTTATTAACGTTCGGTGTATTCAATATGGAAAAAGAAGAAGAGCTTTTTCGAGTTCTCGCGCGCCAAGCGCTCCAGAAATTATTCAAACGAGCGGATATTTATTTACACGGGACAAAGGACCGTTGGCGGGAAGAACGAATGTAATTTTTAAAACGCGGAAATGGAGGAAGCGCAATGCCGTGTCTTCCACCTGTTTCCAAAGTTTCGCCCGTCGGTGCGCTCATTTATTTATTTATTCCCGCGTGGATGCCCGACTTCGTGTCACCCTTTACCATCCACTACCGGCGACTTTTCAAATTTTCATCGTCATTTATACGTTATTACGATTGACCTTTCTTTCCTCCCTGTCAGACGACGAACAAAATTCCCTTTCGACATAATTAATTCGCCCTCTCGTCCACGTTTCGCTGATTAATTGAGCCGCTGCTATTAATTAAAAGGGGCCAGGTTAACGAATTCGCTTCTTCCTACTGTACATTTATCATAAAATATTTTCGATGGACAATATTAGACTTTTGACGTGTCAATCTCGAAGTTTCGAGTCATCGTAAGCTATCAATTATGCCAAACACCGTTTCTATCTTTGCGTAGCGACAGTCTGTGGCCACTTTTGGGCGACAGAGAGCGTGTACTGGCGAATCGACGCGATAAAACGAAAAGAATGTAGGGGGGTTGATCGTTTCCCGACGGCCTTGAGCGGCCCAATTAATTTTGATCCGATTACGGTCCATACAACGTGCAGAAAGTACGGAAAACGTCAAATTGTTTAACATGTAATCCCCTCAATCGAGAAACAGTTTTAATCAGTAGAAATGGCCCCCGTAAAGCGATTTATAAATTGGTATTTACACAAATTTCAGACAGCCTCCAATTATTTAAGCAGCCATTACGTGCCTCCAATTACATCAGAGATAAAACACGTTTAAACTAATCAACATCGGTCATAATAGAGCAACGTGCACGCAATGGTCGAGTCGAACCATTTTACCTGATTATTTTGCAAATCACACAACAATACACACATAGCGAACAATTATGATTAATTCTGATACGCAAACTATTTTCGTTCTCCGCGGTTCAGCGATTTCGAACCTTCGTTTCTGGTAGAAATTATGCAAAGTGTTATGGAGTAGCGTACGATGGTTTGTTCCAAAGCTGGGGGAAACGTCGAAATCAGAAAAAAAGAAGAAAAAATGCAATACCGTGTTCCGAAACAGACTTATCTCGCGCGATAAACACGCTCGCCGCCGGCCAATTAAATTTAAAACGCGCTTTCTGCTCGCGACGGTAATTCCGCCGCCTTAAACTTTCCGACGAACGCCCGCGCAGCGCTGGTCGTCGTTCGTCGGGGGTTTTCTTTCGCGGACAACTCGCCACGCTTTATTTTACCTGCGTCGACTAATGAGGAGAACCGCGGGAAGGGACTGCGAGTTGACATTTTTAACGAACGTGGAGAACGTCGTGGGCGAAATTGGGGCGCGAAGAACTCGTCCAGGCGTCCGTTTCGCGGATCCATATCTGGTAAAAATAACTCGCGAGACCGGAGGATCTTTTTCCAGATTTTATTTATTTTCACGAAACCGTACCTTGTACTCGACAACGACGATGCATGCGAGTTTTAATTGCAATCGCGGGAGATTTCTGGGTCTGATCGAGGGTTAGGTTTACCAGTTTATAGATATGTGTCTTTCTTGGTGTCATTTTTGGTGTAATTTTTTATTATAATAGTGGAATGAAAAGGTGGTTAAATCGCCCACGAAATCGAGGATGGTTTCCTTACACGAAAACTTACTTCATTCTCGACACGACGGATACGCCACTTTCTAATAGGATCATTGTTCGACGATAATTTTCTGAATCACTGAATTGGGAGAAGGGAACCAATCGAGTGGTCTGTAGGATCGACTTAACCCCTTCAGACTCCATTGTTGGCAAAACAGAGCTATCGAAAAACCGAGGATTAAAATCTTAAAAAATCTCGATCGTCTCGGGAATCTGTGCCACGTGTTCGTATTCCACATTCGCGTTCTACTCTTCGGAAACTTCTCTTGTACTCTGGTAATTTCCCTCATCGATTATTGCGATACCGTAACGGTGCTTGCCATTTCCCCTCGCGTGCAACGTGTTCAAAATAGTTGTCTTCGGTGCATATACAATGGTGTAAATTAGATCTCTTCTTTGAAAAGTCTAAGATCAACGCTTCTTTTCTTATCTCTATTAAATATTGATATCCATCTATCTATTCATCGTATGCACGTTCGAGACTATTTTAAAATGAAACAACGAACGAGAAGATCACGGTCTCCAGAAGATCTTTGGGTCGCTAATGGACGAACGTCGCCTTGGTGGAATCGAATTTTGTTCCAAATATATATTCCTAGCAACGAGTGCATCGTAGTCATCGAGCAGGTCCGCATTTCCATTCATTTGGTCGCCCGGAGCATGACGAGCCTTTTCCCCCGATTCGCTGTCACCGACCGTCCGCTTCTTCCCCCATTTTCCACAGAAACGACCCACATTTTCCCGCACGCTGACGGTCCGAATGCAGCCTGCAGGCGACGGTATCTGCGGTGTGACACTATGCAGATTAAAATCCGATAAAAGAGAGGAACCGTAGGATGGAGAAAGAGGCAGCGAGAGAGGGACCCGAGGGACTTTGACAAATCGTCGAAAAATGCGGACGCGAGACAGGAGGGGGCGGTACCAGAGGTCGGTGTCCCTCTTTTTCACCGTGTATATGTCGATATCCACCCTCTGCTTTCCTCTTCGGGCTTGGCTCGAGTGCCAAACTCCACCTGCCTGACGTTGTTGCTCTCCCTTCGACTCCGTTAGCCCCTCTACAGGCCGTTTCACCTTTGGACACGCTCGTCTTCTCGTCCCTAACCCTTCTCGAGAACACGGGAATCGCGACTTTGATGGCTTCGAACATCCAGCTCGAAACAACCCCTATCGAATATCTTCGAAACTCGCATCGTTCTCCACTCGTATCGCTTCCATATTATAAATTTAAAGACTGGAAAACCTGTTTCTTAGTACGACACGATGTTAAATACTTCGTTTGAAAGACCCTGTACGCGTGCACGCGCTTTTCACTCGCACCGAACCAATTTTTTTTTATACGGGATCCATATTTATCACCCCATCTAGCCGCGACTGGTTTCCCCCTCCACGCGGAACGCGTCACTTACGACCACAGTTGGAAGATCAAAGTGTCGTTAGCAGGTTTGGGGTGGAAAAAACAGGCTCGTATCGTCTATGAACTACGTCACGGGCGAATAAAATTGTCGCGAAACTTCGTTGCGCGATCCCGCAGGGGTGAAAGCGCTCTTCCCGGGGAAAAGACGCGTTTCAAAGCGAACCAGTTACTTTCCAGATTCAACGATCTTTACGAAAACACAAGGGTTAGAACGGGAGGGAAAAATTTTGATATTTTTCTTTCACTGATACATTTAACCCCTCGATATACAAGTTCCTGATGTCAAGTTTACACAATCGTGAGGCTACTCACTGGTCATCTAGTCTTGTGTATTAAAATCAACACATTTTTGCACTCACAAGGTGTTTGTAAATCTATTGTTTTTCGTGGCCATTCCTTGTACGAATAAATTTAAATAAAATTGAATAGTTTGAACAATTATTTGGAATTAAATTGTACGTCAAGGGGTTAATCTTGTATTACATGAATGTCGCGTATCTTTGGGGTTTGTTTGCTGTCTAAAATATGGAGAACATATCTCAACAACTTCTGAGTTCAAGATACAGAATTTACACCGTAAAGAAAGCCTAGATAAAGAAGACTTTGACTTTGAGAATCAATGAACTTTCTCCAAAGGTGTCTATGATTGCAAAGGGCGGAATTTCACAGCCAACGAACGAAAATTCGCGGTGTCTCGTAATTTTCAATTTCTTTGGTAATTGTCCGTATGGTCGGGCGTATCGCGTGGGCGGCAACGGGGTACGTGCTAATGCAAAACAAAGTGCTCGAATGGCTACAGATAATTCGAGGTACCGCGAAACGGAGCCCGGAGGCACCACGGCAGCGGGTGAACCGAAGCCGCGCAATAATCTGCAACGATCTACACGACGATCCTCGATAAATATCCGGAACGAGAACCATTATCACGTTCCAGAAACTTCGCTATCCATTCTGTTGTCGGTGTATTAACGAGGCACGAGGCTGATTGCACGATAGAATCCGGCAAAGTGCTCTCGATTTCTTTTCCACTGTAAACGAGGCACCCGCGGACCCCCCACCCCTGTTTCAGAATTAGCAGAACCCATTGCCTCCTGGCGTCCTTCTTCTTCGTCCCCCCCTCCCCCCGCCGTTTGCACAACGAACGAAAGTCGTTAAGTTCTTCCCCGAGAATTATTCCGGGGTAGCTGCCGTCGTGGTCCCGTCGTACCCCCTTCTTCTCGTCATCTTCGAGCTTTTAATTACCGATCGGCATTCTAATTAATGAATGGATTTCCCCGGGCCAAACCGTGAGGGGGAATCGTTATCGATCGGACGAAACAACGACGATTAGGAGGTCGACGACGACGATGACGCAAAGGGGGGAAAAAAAAAAGAAAAAAAAAGGAACGGGGTGGAACAACGACGGCATCTGCCCGGACGTTCCAACGGAATTGTACTTACTTTCTTTGTACTGGAGAACGTTCGAGTGCTTCTCGTGAATGACGACGCAACGGTAGCAGGATTTTCTGGAACAGAAAACGGAAAACGGTGGGTTTCTTTTATTCAGCCCTTTCATTCGATATCGCTCGACGGAATTAGAACCGGTTTCCCCCGTGGCTCCGGCGTTCCTTTTCCCTCCCACCGGTTGTGTTCCCGGCAACGTTGATCGTCAGGCGACGACGCGGATTAACGGATGGCCAGTCGTCCGGACGAGATAAGCTACGGCCAGCGAAATGTTCGCGATAACGTATCGATCGATCGACGGAATCCCTCGTGATGCTGGGCAAATGTAAACCGGAGACGAAAATATTTTTCTAAATCGAGCGTACGAAAAATCAGATGAAATACACCGCGCTGAGAAATGAATATTATTCGTCTGAGTTGAAGAATAAATAAAGTATCGGGAATTCCACCTCGGTCGTCCGTGTCGCGCGTAGCACCTTATTCCGGGGGTGCAACTTCCGTCTTCTTTTTCTATCTCGCTAGTCGACGTATCGATCGGACGTTTTGCAGGCGAGACCCGATAGAAATCTCCACGAAAACTTCGACCGACTCGTGTGACACGAGCATTACGCGGCGAAACGACGCTCCTCCTTTTCCTTCTCTCGCGTGTGCTTCCTACGGAGCCACCCCCGTAACAAACCCCGCTTTTAATCCCCTCTAGCCTCCGGGACAAACTTACTCCCGGTCGTATCGCCTCGAATCCCGACGCAGCCTCCACCTTCACTCCCCGAGCTTCTACCCCTTGGTGGTCTTTGATTTCTTATTTAACAATTTTGCAATTTTTATGTTCCCGAGCCTCCCAAATTAGCGGGGAGCCACGAGTCTTTGGACGATGGAATTTTCTTAATTTTTAATTTATTTGAACAATGGTCGATAGTGGAGACCATTTCATTTTATTGCTCGAGTGTCCATTGTACACCATTTTAACGAAAGAGAAATGTTAGAATAGTAAACAATTTCTAGTCGAACCACGTATGATATTGTAAACTCCACAATTGTCGAAATTAAATATTGCAAATCGGAGCTAATAGGGTTTAAAAATAGAAGCGATCGGAGCAACGACCGTTCTTGGAAGAGTGTAAAATTATAACATAGCAAGAGGCTTGAGTATTTCATCGAGTGAGAATTCAAAAGGGAATGGATGCCTCTTGGATATTAAATTTAGAAAAAATGCCAAACCGAATCCGAGAATTATTAATTTATTAGTACAGAGCTAGATCTTTCATTACTCATGAAAGGGTTATTTTCGCTACTATTTGAAGTAGCAAAAGGATTCTTTTAGGACATCTTGCAAAAATGTGTACTTACTGGTTCACCAGAAGGAACTTGTCGCCTTCGTTGTGCAAGCACCTGCCCTTGCCAGACAGCTCGTTCTTGGAGATGACGATGGGGTGTGTGACCCCGCTCTGGAACCAGGTACCCTCCCATTTCGGTGGAAACGAGCATTCTGAAACAACAGATACGATCGAGTTAGCCTAAACTACCATCTCGAGGTACCATCGTGCTTATCGTACCCTTTGGAATCTCACAAAATTTCGTAGACCCTCCAAAAACTGAATTTGTGAAACATCTACACAGTCAACCCCTGTAGAACATTTCGTTGTAACAGCTCTAATAAAAAGAAAAATACCAGATTTATTCGTTGCTATTTTCTTTGACCTATTCACCACAGATTACCTATCCTTTAAATAAATAAATATTGCTCAGTTCTCTATGTTTTACCGTTGAAAAGTATTCCGTGATCCAGGCGTTTCTTTCGAAGAGCGTCTCGAAGACAAGACGTAATATTCTCGACGAAGTAATTCGGGACAAATCGCGGCGGGGCACGAAGACAAAGGGGTTCGGGATCCGTGGCGAGGCTAAGGGTTGAACGGGAGGGCGCATAACCATGGCGCCGAGATGGGAATTCCCGGGACGGGATAATCCCGGGGGCGAAGCGAATTTCCGAAAACTACTGCTGTAGCGCGGAAGGGATACATCCAGCCGAGTTATCGACGATAATCGAAACCCGGGGACGTCCCTCGTGTCTCGTTCCTTTCTCTCGTTCGAACTTCACCCGGGGCCTGCCTTTCCACCGGCTGCGTTTTCCAAAATTCCCGTTACAACGACCAAACACATCTTAAATAACAGTCATAGTGCATGGGAATTAATACAACTGTCTTTCGTTTGGTTCCATGATAATGAAGTTTACTTCAAGTGAAAAAATCGTGTTATTTTATAGAAAATCTAGAGATATCTTACTATGAAAAGTGGCCTTGCAACCCCTATTCCCTGAGAGTCGATATCGAGAATAATAACACAGACTTTCGTTTGGTTCCTTGTCAATGAAGTTTACTCACAGCACAAGTGAAAAAAGTGGTGTTATTTTACAGAAAATCTAGAGATATCTTACTATGAAAAGTGGCCTTGCAACCCCTATTCTCTGACAGTAGATATCGAGAATAATAACCCACTGTCTTTCGTTTAATTCCCTGGCAATGAAGTTTACTCACAGTACAAGTGAAGAAATTGCGTTATTTTACAGAAAATCTAGAGATATCTTAATATGAAAAGTGGCCTTGCAACGCCTATTCTCTGACAGTAGATATCGAGAATAATAACCCACTGTCTTTCGTTTAATTCCCTGGCAATGAAGTTTACTCACAGTACAAGTGAAGAAATTGCGTTATTTTATAGAAAATCTAGAGATATCTTACTATGAAAGGTGGCCATGCAACCCCTATTTCCCGAGACTCGATATCGAGAATAAAAGCGTGAAAGAATCTACGCGAGAGGATCTTAATTTCGATAACGGGTATCGAGGACAAAAGTCTCGGTCTCCGGATGGACGCCAAAGCATAATATAATATTATATCTGTACGAGCTATAGAACGGCATCGAGAAAGACGGGTCGAGTCTTATCGAGAAGTTGTCCGTACGGGCAGATACGTACTGTGTCCCATTTATTGTGGCCTCCCCTTTTGTTTCCTGTTGTTCTATTACGCTGCGTTGACCTATTGATACTCTGCCCCTCTGTGATCCTGCATAATAGCTAATTGTGTCGCGTCTCACTGTTTCAATTCTATTCTCCGGCGAGACAAAGAATCGGTCCCATCTGATTGGCGAGATCGAACCTGGGGATTTTTCGTTCGACGGATACCGGGAGTGGAAATATCCGCGAGAACGGACGAGTTTCGGGTTAAATTTCGTACGATTTTTTTACGAATCGACATCTCCTCGAGAGTGAGCCGTTAATTAGATTAGAACGAGGGCGGAGGAGGAAAAATATTGTTCCACCGGGGGTGGGGTATCGTGCTCTCCCGCGGGAGCAAAGCGTACCAATACCGACGTTCCCCGGGCGAGTCTTTAAGTAAAAGCTTCGTAAATAAAGACTGTTGTTGTCGTTCGGTTGGACGGCACCGTCGAGCTGTTGATTCATCTAATTGTGGCAATCGTTTTCGCGTCTACGCGAGAACAGAGACAGGTTGTCGCCTCCGAAGAGAAAATAATCGAGTTGGATTCGTCTTTGACGGCTCGTCCCAGGATTTTTTCGCGAACCGTCCATAGAACAGATGTCTCTCGTTTTAAGGCCAAGCGAAGAAAGAAAAAAAAAATTTCCCCCGGGGGGGAAGAACCCCGGAGGGGCTCGCGGAATAATAAAGCGCCAAGAAAGCTTTTTAAGCGTTCCTCGCACTGCTCATCGCCGGGGGGATACTGATATTGACGCCTGTCATTTTCCAAAGTTCTCCCTGCGTCGAGAGAACGACACTTTCGGCTCGAGTCTCTTCAAAGATAGGCAGAGTTTCGAGTAAATAATATAAAGGTATCGATTTATAGAATTCTCCACGAATCTCAAATTAAAATGTTCCACAGTCTGCGTGAAATGTTAAAGCTTCTTTAAAATCGAAATTTAAAATTCAACTTTAAATTTAAAAAAAAAGGGGATCTCACGACGGAGTTACTTCAGCGCCAGAGGGTTTCTTCCCCGAGACGGAATTAAAGCCGCGGAGAGAAACGACCGTTTCCCCGTTCAGACGCACGCAACATGGACGATATTTACGCGCGATCGCGGGGCCTTATCGTTAACAGCATCAGAAACGGCGGGTAGCTCGAGGAGATTCGATTTCGCGGAACACAATCGTTTTTTCCCCTCCCCTCCACGGAAATAAATAAATGCGGATGACGGTGGATCCGGACACCCACCACTCGCCACCGATTTCCTATTTTCTCCCGAATTATAAAGTGTCACGTTTGCAAAGTCCTCGAATTTATTTTACCATAATTAGGTACTTCCACACTGTGTTGCGAGCTAGCAGACTTTGGCCACTGTCACGTGTGCGTGATCTACTGTATCAGCCACCATTTCATCATACATTCAACTTATTTGTTGAGGTTACACTTATAATTCCTTGTAATGATATTCCTAGCATCTTCGTGTATCTCACTTTGGTCTACAATATCAGTGGTGACGAACAACGGCCATTAAAGTGTTAACTGAATAATCTACGAAGTTTGGAAAGGCTGTGTTATTCGAGAAAGAGTCCTTTTACTACAGAGGACCCCCTGATGGAGGATCCAGTCGGAGAATTTGAATCGTAATGCCCAAAGGTTGCATTCGATGTCAGATAGTTGAAAGAATGGGAATTCGATGGAACAAACGTCGGGATAGAAAAAAGATTCGAGCAAATAACGATAAGCTCGATAAGCTCGCAGCCGAAGAAATTGAAAAGCGCGGCTGATTGAAGATTCCGTTATCAGCCAGCACGGAAATGGCCAGGCCCCGGAAGTCGGGGGGGAGGGGGGGAAATAAGCAGAGGGAAACAACCGCGGTGTGTTTTGTATTTCATCGACGGGGGGCGGCTTAATATCAATAAATTCAGCCCGTATCTTTTAACGACACTTTATCAGCGGGTCGCGCGTGCCTCTGTATGAAGCCTGGCTACCAGTTACCGAGTTAATGAAATAAGTTTTACGTGAAAGATGGGATCCGGAGATTCAGCCCGTTTGCTGTTACCCGATCGAACGACCAACGGAATCCATCAAGCCTCGACGCGTTTTATAATTGCGGGGGAACTTCGTTGGCTAAATAATTCTGCCTATATTTGTACCTACAAATAGGTTTCCTAAAGAAATAATCCTCTCCACTACATCGAAACATAAAACATTTAACAGAGGAAATTGCAGTTCACAGAGTCTGCAATTTTCATTAATTTTTCGAGGATTCCAGGTGGCTGGTTGGAAATTTTTATTTTAACTCTATTACAGGGGTTCCGTGTTAATATTAAAAAACGATAGACAATTATTGGTCATGCGTGCCTCCGCGAATTAATTAACAAACCGAACAACGTACCCGAAAATGTTTATCATTGTCGGAGCATCGGTGCACGCCCGATCGGGAAATTTCATGCATAAAAGCAAGTTTCACTCAATTTAACAAATAAAAATTCAACGCAATAAATAATCGACGTAATCGAACGGCGGCGCGGGGCTCTTTCGAATAATTGTTTTTTAATGGAAATCCGAACGGGTCTACGTTTTCCGCGTTACCCTCTGAATTTTTCAGGATATTTCATATCCTTTCTTTATTTATTGTCGTCGTAAATACCCGATCAATTTTTTCCTGGACTTTTACTTTAAAATCGTGACTCGCGAAACTTCTGCAGCGGATTCTGCTTTTTTATTAGATGCATTGTACAATGGAGGATCGAATAAATATGATATTTATCGGAATTCAAGCTCAGACTCGAAACGTTCGATGATCAATTTAATGATATTATTATATAAGCATAGTTTAACCAATGTGACGGCTATGGAAGATTCTCCGGCTGTTTTAGTGGCGCTGGAGAACGAATGGGGTGTCGATTCGCGAAAATCCAACGACGTTATTTTTCGTTAACCGAACGACTCTACGGGTCCGGGGATTTGAGAAGCTCGAAATTACGCTGAGTTTATTCTCACGGACGAGTCATTACTTTCCTGCGACCTCCTTACCAGCGTATCCGACTTCCTCCGCTCCATTCACAGACCGAATAACGATCCCCAGGTGGCTGTACGTCTTCCCGGAAATGGACCGCGTTCTTCAATTGGACAATGATAATAAGGATAATAGCGACAGGAATAATAACGACAATGATTAGAAAAGTCGCGGCCAGACACCACGAAAACCGAATTTTCTCGCCATCGAGATCACCAGAAAAATTAAAAATACATCGTATATTTATTTTTTTAATCCCCCGACGCAAAGCAATTCCGCTTCGATTTATTTGGAAAAACTGCGTCTTATCCCGAGAGAAAATGATCCTTTGGTCAGACAAATTGAAACGAGTTCAAACAAACACAAACAAGCTCGAACGAATCGACGTCTCGTCTGAAAACACTCGACAAGATTTGCTTTCCTGAACGGCGACTTCGGAAATCAATTAAGCCAAAAACATTCTGATTAATTCGTACAAACATGGGAAAATTAAA